TCCTGTTAATCCCTTACATTGTTTTTAAACAAAAAAACAAACAAACAAAAAAGTAATAGCATTAGTGGTGCAAAATCCCCCATGAAATCAAGAATCCAGCACCATTTTCCATACTAAAACTCTGAATAACATTCAAAACTGGTTTATCATTTGCTGGTAAATTATATTGTGCCAACGCAAGGCAAGGAAAAGCATTTTCTCAATGTATTTCCTTTAATAAGCTATTAAGACCTTGTACTGCTAATTAAACTATTAATTAGACAGCTTATCGTTCCTAAACACGTTAGCATGTTGCCAAAGCAGCAATGAGCCTCTGGGGCAGGCAGGAGATAAGAAAAGAAGAAGATGCAAACACAAAGATTAAAAAAAAAAAAAGAAGAAGAAAAAAAAAATCACAAGAACCAGAAATAAGAAATAAATAACCAAGGGTTATTTATGTAGTGTTGAATTGATAGGAATAAAAAAATATGTAACTTGAAAATAAATTTTCTAGGTAGAGGCCCCTGGGACATATTCTATGTCTGTGCAAGAAAAGAAGAGACATAATCATTTCCAGACCTTTTTTTTCTACAATTGGGAGTGGGAACCTGAAACTCGTCCCCTTTCCCCACAACAAAGTAACTTCCCATAAGAAAACTGACAGAAAAACTGTTCAAAGTTTTGTGTTTTTTTTTCCCCAGAAGAAAAACATGATCCATTTCCAATAGGAAACTCTTAACCCAATGCAATTCCTGCATCTGACTCCCCAGACTAACCTTCTTCCCTACAAACAGCATCCCAGGCTTCCCTATTCTTGTATCACCTGGCTTTTTTAAGGTTAAAGAGGAGCCCCACAGCTCTGAGCACACTTTCTTTGCAGGCCATGAAGGTGTTTCCTCCTGCATCTTTAAGACATGGAAGGAGCTGAGCTGTGGACACGGCTCTGTGCATCCCCCCAAAGGTCCTTCTCATGCTGCCTGTGGTGTCTGAGGCCCGAGGCCTGGAGACACTGATCTCCAGTCATCTCTGGCTCCACCTCAGAGTCTGCACCATGAGCATATTAACATGTTTTTAGAGCCCACTCCAGCATTTCCTTTTGACAGTTATCTCAAGGGATAGATAATCTCATTTACATCTGTGGCTACAAATCAAACCACCAGCAAATTAAACAGATCTGAAGGCTAAGATTAAAGACTTGGAATGAAACCACCTGTGAGGGGCCTGTAATGCAAATAGTTTTAAGTATCATTGTTGTTTTTTTGTTCTGAGGGATGGGAAAGCCATCACAGATGCTGGTCACTTGAAAGCAAAGGTGGAACCGTCACATCCCTGCAGTGATTCTACCCACGGGCTTTACGTGACAGCAGCTTCTGGGCTGTGGCTGGAAAAAGAAAAGGAAAGGAGCTGGAACAAAGTACTGATTGTTCTAGCCAAGCACAGCCAGCAGATAGCAGCATTGCAATGTGCAATGTGCCCTCGGCTGCTCCTGCTGCTTTCGAAGTCATGGAGAAACCGGGGGGCAGGTGAGTCTGGGCTGGGCTGCAGCCTCTGCTGCAGGTGGACACTGACCTCTTAGATGCAGCAGTTCTGGAGAGTCTAAGCGAAATTGCATGGGGAAAAAAATGCCATAGGGCTGTGAAAATATCACACATGGGGCACTCACCCTTAAACTGGAGTTTTTGCACAATGCTCAAGTGAATCTGTCCCGGCAGTGTGGGAGAGCACCCGGGGAGCTCAGCTCTGGCTGCCCCTCCTGCAAAACTGGAGCTTTAAAGGGCCACGAGTGGCAACTGGGCATCCTGTGCAGGGCTGATCCCGCTGCTGAGGGGGTCTCTGCATCGGGGCAGCTCTTCCCAGTGCTAAATCAGTTAAAAAGAACAACCAGCAACTGGAGAAAGGGGCTCCTGGGCTCTCACCTGGGTTGCTTTGTGTTGCTGTGAAGGGCTGTGATGTTGCAGAGCAGGAGCTTTCTCACCTGGGAGGGTTGTGCTGTTGTTATTATGCAAGACATGGAAGATCCACTGAGGGACATAGTTAATAAGACTTAATTAAAACTTGTTTGCTCAGATAAATTTGATTGGTTTCAGCCATGCACAGAGCAAACCACCTTCAACTCACAGTAGGGTTTTGCAGCAGGTCAGATAGGAAGGGATTGCTTCAGGTCTGAAAAAGGCTTTGACTTCACCCTGCAGCAGGCTTGGGGGGGCTGCCTGGGTGGGTGTCAGAGCTCCTGCTTCTGCTTCAGGCTGGGACAAAGACATGTGACTTGTCAATGGCAGCATAATATATTATATATAATATGTATGTATATATATTATATATAATAATAATATAGATAATATATACATAATATATTATCTTATCTTATCTTATATACTATTATATTATTATATATTTATATTATCTATTCTACATATATATTTATATCTATATCTATTTTCTTTATATTTATATTCAAAATAGTTAATCTAACACTTTGTATTTGCTCCTTTCTTCCCCAGAGGATGCTTCCATGCTGATTATTTTAATCAGGGCATTTCATACCAATATAAGGGTCCTCACCAGCTGGACAGATTATATCTGCACCGGACATGAGGACATGCTCTTTCATCAACCTTGAACCATGGTTAAGGGAAGCAGGTTGCTGGTGGAAGCTGAGAGGGATTTACCCCCCTCAAAGCCCCTCAGAGTGGCCCAGAAAGCAGCTCGAGCCCTTGAGCAGAGCAGGATGCTGAGAGGAGGAGGCTGCCTGGGGCCAGCAGGGAAGGAATGCAAAGGGTTTGATAAGGAAGGAATAGTAATAATACTAACCTTTTCGGCAGGGCCAGGGCTGAGCCTGCCTGTGTTTACACACAGACAAAAACTTCCTGAGCTGGAAGTGCAGCCTTTTCCGCCAGCGCTCGGCACTTCCCCCAGCCTGGATGGCTGAGAGAAAGCTTTTGTTTTGCCAAAGCAATTGACTGTACCTTTATTGTCTCTGCTTGGCTGTAGGACGTTCTCTGAGCTGTGAAAAATGCACCTGATGGCAGATTAAATCTACTTTCCATGCGGTCGGTAGTGCTGGTGAGATAAACGGTGGCCAGAACAACATCTCAGCCCCAGTTCCCTCTGCAGCTCCTGCAAACCCAGCCCTGGGAAAGCTGCTCCTGCCCGTGCCCAGGAAACAAGGACAAGGAAGGGAAGAGTCAGGTCAGGAAAGACACCCCAAACCTGCCCTCGGTGCAGCTCAAGCACAAGAACAGGCACTAAAGGGCATTGCCCTGCAAATCTTTTGAGGCAGGAACCGTTGCTGGTTATTCCCTTGGGCAGAGTCAGGAAGCCTTCACCATCTTCATCTTCATCAACACACCCCTACTCCCCACCCTGACCCCCTGACCTCCATGAGATGAGTCTTGCTTATTTATCCAGGAATTAACTGGGCATCTCAAACAGCAGAAAACCAACCAATCGGGGTTTAATGGAGCGGTGTAACGTCACTCTTCCTGCAGGTCTGTGTGTTGAAAGATGGGGAGAATGTGCTGAGAACAAGCCACATCCTTTAGCCATCCTATTTCTGCTGGGAATAACCTCTCAGAGAAGTGTTGGCCTCTCTCTGTGCTGGCACAAGGCACAGCCAGAGCCACGAGTGCCAGTGGGATGAACACGCTGCTGTTCCAAGGACACAACAGAGGAACTGATTTTTAATACTCAATTATTATTTTATTTTTATTTTTTTTCAACTGGGATTATTTACAGTTAGATCTGGGAGAAGCAACTCACACCAAAACAAACAAAACCTGAAACATTTTAAACTGTGTTTACATGACTCCTCACCCATGGAAACAGCCCCAGGTAATGACAGCCCTTGCTGTCATTCCTTTAAGCACTGTACCAAAATAAAAAAGAAGCCTTCCCCTCATTATAAATTCACTATTGAGAGGGAAAATCAGCTCCAAGGGCCGTTTTTGTCCTTATTTCAGATGTGGGAGTTGCTGCTGGTGCCAGCAGAGGTTCTGGTCTGAACTGCAGCCTCTCGTGCTCTTGCAGCATCAAGGAGGAGCTGCAGGTGCTTGGGGCTGAGCTCAGACCCGTCCCTGCTCCCCCAGAGCTGCCTGGAGCTCCTCAGGGATGTGGCTGCTGGCACAGGAGCCTTGGGAGCAGGACCAGTGCTGAGCGAGGTAGGACCTGCTCCTGTTATTGGGATTTTGGTGTTGGCCTTCACTAACCAAAGGAAAATTACTTATTTTTGTTCCTGTTCCCACTGCAGAGGAACCCCTACCATGGACCCAGGCTTCTGCCCAGCACTCATCCCACTGGCAGCCCTTTGGCATCTTAGTTTCCTGAAGTCCCACCCTGGGCACAGGCTGGAGAAGATTTTTACTCTAAACCAAATACCTCCATACTGGTAGGATTGAAAAAGAATCAAGTTTGAGGTCTATCCATGTTTCAACCTTCAATTCCACATGGAAAGTTTTACACAGAGCTTCAGCAAATTCTGCTGGAGTAGGAAATACTAAAGGAGACAAAGCACAAGAAGAAGGATTAAATGCCTGATGTTCTTAAAAGAGGAAGAAATCCTGCACTTAAACATAAAGATGAGATAAAAACCAACTCTGTTAACCAAAATTATCTGAAACCTGAGAGGGTTTTGTCACTGAAATCCCAACTTAACTATTTCAATCAGCCTAAGGCACAGGCACCAACAGGTTTGGCTGTTTGGAGTCTGGCTCGAGGCTTCTGTAGCTTTGTTCTGCCTCTGCTAAAAAGCTGTTGGGGACTAAGGGCACTTGTGTTTCTCATTATGTTCTTCTAACAACAAAAGCAGAGAACAGCTGTGAAAAAGTGTCCTGTGTGGTCAGTGGGAGGAGGCAGGAGAGCAGGTCACAGGCAGCTCCGCCGCTTCATGTGATCTTTGAAGCTCTTCACAGAAATACTGATTAAAAAAAAAAAGGTCTGCAGTTCCCAAACTGTCCACAGAAAACTCCTGCCCTCCCTGGTGTCTCTGCTCCTGGCTGGTGCTGGGGACACTCTCCTGGCTTGGTTCACATCTCGGTGTCAGCAGGGCTGTGCTGCCGGGCTGAGTGGCCGTTCTTGGAGGACGCTTGGCCAGTTCCGTTCTCCTGAGTCCCACCATTGAGGTTTGGCTTCTCCTGCAGCTCGGGCTGCTCCTGGGGGGGCATCATCAACATCGTGTTTCCCTGGCTACCATTTTCCGTGTAATATGGGTCTTCAGCCTGAACATAAATAACAAAGGCAGAGTTAGGGAAGGGAAGGGGCTCTGATTGCAGGCAGCAGCTTGGCCAGCTGGCTGTGCTTCCTGGACAGGAGGGACAAACAACTGCAGGCATGGGAACCTGCTCCCACAGGCAAGAAGGGGAACAGAGGGCCTGAACCAGGCTGTGGCAAGACAAAGCAAGAAAAGCAGCCAGGAACTGCATTTTTTTTTTTTCCCCTCCTGGACCTGAAAGGAGAAGCCATCAGCTTTTGTTGTTTTTGCATCACCAGGTTTTGGAGCTGACCCTGCCTTGGGTTTGCAAAGCTAGGCCATGATAGACCACCTCTGCTTTCCACTTTGGCCAAGTAAGAAGCACCACTGAATGAAAGCTATGGAAATTCTCTCTTTTTCTTTCCTCATCCTTCCTTCTTCCAGCCTGAAGCAGCCACACAGCAGGGTGCTGGCAGAGGTGCAGGGCTGGTCCAGCACCACCAGTCTCGAGAGCTGCGTGGGGCTGTAAATGCAAGGATGTGTTGAGGGACTATTGCTGAGGAGCAGATGCCTCTGGAGGACCCAGAGCAATAGCAGAACTGCTTCCAACCCCCCTGTCTCAGACAGGTCTGGCAGCAGTGCAGGGGGTGCTGCAGGGAGCAGATGGTTCCCCTCCATTTCTCAGCAGCACCCAGCACTGCAGGCTGCTGAGCATCCCCACCTCTGTTCACTTGGCCCCTTTGCTGACACCCTTTTCCATGGCATTGGGCACTGGACACAGCTCACCCAGGAACAGGATTGATGCTGTTCTGCATGTACCTGGCACTGAAATCACCTCATGGCTTTCCAGGACACACTGTTCATGTGCCCATGAGCAGCGATGGGGAAAAACCCAGCCCAGCCTGACTTTACAGAGGGACTCTGTCCCCAAAATTCACTGGTAGGGGGAAGTCCTCAGTGGTCACCCTGCCTGGAAAGGGGAAAAGGGAAATAGGAAATTTCTTTTTCTTTCTTTCTTGATATATTTTATTACCATCACTTGTTAAGTGAGGGGAAAAAGAGCATCGGTACAAGACAGACATATAATTCAAATGCAGCCAATGGGAAGCTAAAGTGTCACTTTAATGACAAATTCCTAAGGTTTCAGTGTCTCTGGAGGGGTCTTGCTGGATGAGTTTTTACTGCTGAGCAAGAAGAAGAGTTAGACCTACAAGTATGAGCAAGAAAGGGGCAGTTTTCCCATGGGAGCAACCAGGGAAGTGTTCGTGTCAGAGGCAAGAGAGGTTTCCCCTCATCCCACTCCTGCCCCTCACATGTCCAGGCTGAGCCAGCCCCGGTCACAATGTCACATCGACCTGGGGACACACAGACAGGCTGGGGGTGCTGAGCCCCCTCCTCTCCCCCCAGCACCCCCCTACCTGTGGCTCTGCCATCTATAAGCACTGACCAGCCTCTCGCCCGCCGGGCTCCAGCTCCGCCGCTTCATCAGGAAATACCCAGCCAGGCCCAGGAATG